GAATTATTTTCTAAATACTTGAATAAACAGTGAAAATAAAAATTTTAAAAGGATACCATTTGTAACACCATAAGAAAAAATAATATATCTAAGAAAAACATGAGATTTCACAATGAATAAAATCTAACGTCTGGCAATTACAAATATAAAAATTGAAATTAAAAATTTCATATTAAATACAGCTAAAAATAAAATTAGTGAGGCTTCTGTTTCCATTAATGGAACAGTAAGTAATTTGAGCCAATTCTCTTAATAAAGACAATTTAAAAGGCTGGAAAAAATAGAAAAAAAGCATCTTCTGTGAAACTTCAGAGAATTAAAGAGATAGAAAGCTGTAACAGGCAATATCTGGGAGAAGCTAGGAACGGAACAAACTAAGCAAAGGATCAGGAGTTACTTTTCTGCCAGAGTGAGGACTCTTGATTTTTTGGCAGCTCTCCAGGACTGGCCAAAGGTGAGGCCCTGAGAACTAAAGTATTTTAAGCTGAGACCCTCTAAGAGTTGCACCCGAGGAGTAAAGATGAACAGAAATAAACCAGTCCTCAGTGATCTGCTTTGAGTCATTTGGGTAGACAGAAAATATCAAACCTTAATTTAAAGTGGTTCAGGAGTACTAGTGCCCCCAAGTGAGCCAGAAAGAAGCAAGCAAAAACACTACCTGGAGGAAGATGGCATCACCCATCAAACTGTCCCTAGAATAGTTTTGTAAGTACAGCTTCTGCAGACAACCAAAGACAACCAGGCACAGGGAAGAGGCGTGACAAAATAAGAGAGGATTAGCAGAACAACAAACAACAACAGCACAAGAAATAGACTCCAAGGACGACAGATAATAGGAATATCAAATTAGATTGCAAAATCGATATGCTTACTCTGTTAAAAGAAGTATAACTAAAGCTTGAAAGTTTCTGTAGAAGACTCAAGAATGTAATAATTCACATAGAATATTTGAAAAATACTAAAATAAATTTTAAAAATAGAAAACTCAAAAAACAAAATCAGGAACTCACTGGATAAGTTGAATAGACACAGGTACAGTGTTAACAATCCCAAATACCAGTAGCTAAAAACTATAAAAGTTTATTTCTTTCTCAATTTATGTATCTATCACAAGTCAGGTGGTAAAAATCAAAATATTTAAATTTTTTCATGTTTCAGAAAAATTTTTCTTTGAAACTGTTAAAACCATGTATTAAAATTAAATGGCAGTGGTTGCCAGGGGCTTGAAGGAGGGGAAGATGGGGAGTTAGTGTTTAATGAGTACAGAGTTTCAGTTTTGCCAGATATAAAGAGTTCTGGAGATGGATGGTGGAGATGGTTGCACAACAATATGAGTGTACTTAATATCATTTAATGGTACACTTAAAATGGTTAAGATGGTGAATTTTATGTGTATCTTACTACAATAAAAAAATTTTCAATTAAATGGCAAATATAATCAACAGATAGCAGATTTTTATCTAAGTTATTTAAATAAAGCTGACATTTTAAATTTAATTAATTCTTATTAAGTATTCAGTATTAAGTATTTTATAACAATAAAACAATATTTTAAAAAATATGTATTGGTAATTTCTAAGGTAATAACTAAAAAATAGGAAAAGGTACACAAATTAGAGAGAAAAATGAAATGATAAGAATATCTAAAAGAAGGCAAGAAAGGAGAGAAAAAGCAATATAGAACAGGAGGTACAAATATAAGGCAAACAAAATTAGTAGATAAATTAGACTTACCAGCAGCTACTTTAAATATAAAGTATCACTGGAGATGAGGACAGTCACTTCATAATGATATTAATACATGATTCAATTCAATGGGAAGTATGACAACTGTAAATTTGTATGCACATAAAACATTGTGTTATATAGTATCAATAAAAATACTAGAAAAAAATGAAAAAAGCATAGTTATAATGGGAGATTTTAATATACTACCTCTAGTAATCGTTGCAGTAAAGAGAAAAATATAAAAGAGTTGAACAACACATTTGGTCTAATTGACGTATATAGAATACCCCACTCAATAACCTCATTTCTTTCAAGGTTTCCTGGACAAAAACTGACCATATTGTGCCATTAGGTAAATTTTAGCAATTGTAAAAAAGCTGAAGTTATACATAATATGTTCTCCAATCACAATTAAAATTATAACAGGAATCAAAGACAAAAAAGATAAGTAGAAAAATCCACAGGTCTTGAAAACAAGAAATACACTCTACGTATTCAGCTGCTGATATTGACAAGCTCAGTAATTTGGCTCTGTTCTCTAAGACTAGATGGAAAATTGCACAAATGTTTTACATTTATGTTTGAAGGTAACATAGATGTAACAATGTATGGAGAATTTATGGGGACACAATCTAGGCCGTAAACATTACTCTGGTATTTGGGTGATTTGTCCCTATAAAGCATCTCTCTCCTTCTGGAATAGACAACCGAGAAGTGGAGAAGTTGAGCAGAGCTTTTCACAACCTCGTGGAGCTAGGGGGACAAAATAGAGTTCAGAGCCTAAGTTAGGACAAGTTGGGACTACATTCAAGAAATAAGGCTGAAATGAAAATTGCCTATCCTTTGATGGGACATAAGAGTAGGTACAAAATTCCTACAACGAATATCATACATATTGGTACGATATGGAACATTTTCTCTCTGGATTGGGAACAAAAAAAAGATGTCTGCTGTCACTATTTATTTATATTAAATTTTGCCCTTTGTCCTAGTAAATGATATAAGGCACAAATATATAAAAAATAAGAATGGAAAAAGAAAAAATACAATTAGCATTACTTATAGGTCATGTTCAAAGAAAATCAGAGACTACTTATAAATTATTGTAATTAATAAGTAGGTCTTAGAATGATGTCAAATACTGTATAAATATATATCAATATGAATTATTTTCTAAATACTTGAATAAACAGTGAAAATAAAAATTTTAAAAGGATACCATTTGTAACACCATAAGAAAAAATAATATATCTAAGAATAAAGTTAATGAATAATTTATATGATCTCTACCAAAAAAAACATGAGAAAGATTTAAGAAAAATTAAAGGAAATCTAAATAAATGGAGGGAGATGGTACTTTCATATATTAAAAGACTCAAAATTGTAAAATATCTCCCCATTCCCCTGAATGATCTGCAGATTTAATGTAATCCCAATCAAAACCCTGAATTATTTTTGTGGAAATTGAAAAGATCTTTATACAATTGACATGCATTTCACCAAGGGCCAAGAATAACCAAGAGATTCTTGAAGAAGAAAAGTTCAAACAGTTGCTTTAACTAATATTAAGATATATTACAAAACTATAGAAATTAATACTTTATGATATTGGCACAAGTAGATTGGGAGAACTAAAGAGTGTAGAAAGATCACACATACATGGACACTTGATTTATGACAGAGGTGGCACTGCAGAGCAGTGAAGAAAGAATGTGCTTATCATAAAATGGTGCCAGGTTAAATATCCTTATGAAGAAAAATAAAATTTAACTTATCTTGGTGTTTTGAAGAGAAGTGAAACCACGTGGGAGTAAGTACCTTTGGCAAGTGCTCTCAAGGAGTTAAATTACATAAGGTCTGAGAATAACAAGAATATACAAAAATGTCAGTTAGAGGTGGATTGCAGATCTAAAAATTGTAGCATAATATAAAGTTTCTATAATATAATACAGAGGGATATTTTCATGACCTGACAGAGGGAATTATTTCTTAAACAGGATATTAAAAGTACTAACATAAAGATCAAGACAAGTGATAAATGTGATTGCATTAAGAACTTCTGTTCCTCAAAAGATACCACTAATAGAATAGATAGTCATTGAGTTTGAAAAGATATTTGTAACACATATAACTCATCAACGGCTTTTAGTCAAAATATAGTTACTACAAATCAATAAGAAAAAGAGAAAAAAATAAAAAATAAAATATATTCCTATACTTAACACAAAAAAAGGAAAAAGAGAAAAAAGTAATAGAAAAAGTGATGTAAATAGACACTTTACAAAGTGAACTCCAAATAGATAATAAATAAAGGGCAAATTAAAAATCACATCTTGCTGACACCGCACACCTACTAGATTGGTGCTCTATAATACCAAGAGTTAGTAATGGTGTGCTGCAAAGGGAAACTAGTTACAAATGGTGGAAGTGTAAATCAGTACAACCCTTCTGAGAATAGGTATTACCTAGTAAATTATGCATCTCAAGCTATGTATCTTTATGGCACAGTAATTTCACTCCAAGAAAACAAATATATATACACTCAGAAACGTGTACAAAAAATGTTCATAAGCCAGATTTAGCAAAAATACAACCTAAAAAATGAAGAATGTCCAGTTAAATTTTCATTTCAGATAAACAAGGAATACTTTCTCAGTGTGACTATAAGACTTTGCTTCATTACCAAAATGCATGGGATATCCTTATACCAAAAACTTATTCATTATCTGAATTATTGGTAAGATTTATACATCTATCTATGTATTTAATAGTTCAATATGTATCAACTATAAACAGACATACTTATCTATGTATTTTTAAATCTCTATAGCTATATCATTTGATATGTCAAGATAATTTTATCAACTTGAGTATAGATCTGAAGAATAAACATCGAAAGAGCAATATGGATAACTTTTAAATCAGTAGAAGAAAACTCAATCTCTCCAAAGTGAATCAAAATTTTTTTAAAAAAAGCATTGCAATGATAATATGAAATACTATGGCAATAATAAATCCTAACAAAATAAAAATTACAGTAGATGAAAATAGGTTAAATTTGTCAATTAAAATAAAAAACCATACTTTGTCTCTGTACTTGTTTATCTATGTTTATGTCATACAACATGTTGGCTACATAAGATACATTTGCAAAGGTGCTGAAAATGTTGAAATAATAGATCAGAATGGAACAAAAAGATACATCAGTTAATTAAGAACTACAAGAAACTGGTGTATAAACAATATCTGATTAAAATAGAATTTTAGAAAATATATATAGAAAAAAAAATATATATATAGTAGAAAGATAAAAGTGGTTACTTTCGTAGAGTGAAATGATGACCTTTTTTTGGCTATTTATGAGTTTGTTAAGTGATCTGCGTCAAGTCTATATTATTTTAATATTATATTTTAAATGTTATAAAACACAAAACAAGATCAATAATTTTATAATTACTTAGAATTTGAATCCCTCAGGATCCAGAATCTGCTTGGTTTAAAGTCTTTTTCCTGATGGCGGCCATTAATGTGATAAGCCTGATTTTCTACCTTGTATTTGGTAAAGCAGAAATTCAAGACTGGGCTAAGGAAAGACAACACACACGCTTCTAAAGGTGAGCAGTGATCGGATTAAGGACAACTTTTGAAACTGGGGATCCGGGAGAGAGGGGAGCTGAGGAAGACCCCTGAAATAGGGAAGAATAGGGGTGCAGGTTTGGAAAAGGGGGGACCATGTGAAGCCTGAAAATATTAGACATCATGATGGAAATGGCTCTGGAATCGTGGAGGGGTATTGGGGCTGGAGATATAAATTTGGGAGACTGGGCCTGTCTGACATTAAAAGGTATAAGGAAGAGGAGAAGTTTGCAAGGGAGACTGGGAAGGGCCTTCAATGAAGTAACAAAAACAGTTGGAAAATGTGGTGTTTTGAAGAGAAGTAAAACCATGTGGGAGTAAGTACCTTTGGCAAGTGCTATCAAGGAGTTAAATTACATAAAGTCTGAGAATAACAGGTTAGGCAAGAGGTACCTTAAAGGAGACCCTGACTAAAATTATTTTCAAATGAATGATGGACACAAAGTGTTCATTAAAATGTGTTCAAGGCACCAATATTGTGCCTTTCTTCTGTAAACTCTATCAGTGGTAAATAGTAAGGAAAATGTCTCTTTGTAGAATAATTTCATCTAATGATAAGAATTGAAAGATGTGGAATAACCCTATTTTGCAACCTCCAATGAATTAAGGGATCCAGCTGTTGAATGTCATTGGCTGTTAATATGAATATCACAAAAAGAGAGGCATAAACACATTGGGTACCTCCTGGTGAAAGAACACACCACCACTAATGTGTTCCTAAGAAAATCAAGCTGAATCTAATCAAGCATATGGATATAGCTACCATATTGCAAGAAGTACAGAGAACAGAGGATGTGTTGAACTAAATCTGAAGTGTATCATCAGCAAATATAAACTGTGGGAGATTTTATAGATCAAAGGACTTGGGTTTTTTAACAAATAAATTATGTGTAAGGGAAAGTAAGGGATAGACAATGACTCTCTAGATTAAAAGAGACTTAAAAGACATACCAAATTTTTAAGTATTGGTGAAACTAAACCCTATAGGGACATACACGTAGGTGATAAATCTACAAAGAAATACAGAAGAAGAAATTATTATAAAGGGCAGGGTAGTTGCTACTTTTAGGGGGCAGGAGGGACCATGTGGAAAACTTCTGAGATCCTGGCAATATTCTATTTTTCATGTCTAGGCCAGTGATTAAGAGTGTTTACCTTATAATAATTAATTGAGCCAAACATTTGTTTTGTGAAATTATCTGTGTCTATGTTTTATTTTGTTGTGTTTTTTTATAGTTAAAAAAAAGAGGAAAAAAGAGAATATGAGCTGAGGAAATGGAGATAGCCAGGATAAACATTCCTATAAAGGACAGCAGAGAAATGGCGAGGTATCTGTAGAGGGATATGGAATCAAAGAGAGATTTTTTGTTTGCTTATTTCAGAAGATAGATGTAATAGTATATAAGCTGATGGTATGATCCAATAATGAGGTTTCACAAAGTAGGAAAGAAAGCACAAATACAGAATTAGAGTACTTGAGTCATCCAGAGGGGATGAAATTCAAGCACCAGTGCAGGGGTTGGCTTTGGATAGGAACCTACAGCTTATCCGTAGTGATAGGGAGAAGGTAGAAGTTTGTGCAGTGGGTTAATATATAGGCTGGCCTTTTACCTGTGCAATAAGCAGTGAGGTTTTTACGTAAGAGGGAGGAGTAGAGAGAGGGAAATGAAAGAATACAAATTGGTATTTTTCTTCAATATTAATAGTCGTCTATAATGACCAACAGTCTTTCAGTAGCTGCATGCAATACGTAAACTATTAACTGTCTCCCAATTTATTAATACCTTCTAGATCTCTCATTCCAGAGCTATTAATATTGAAGAAAAATATCAATACATTAACAGGAGTAATTCTATTGAAATTCATTGTAAAGAATATTTTGATAGATCTTTCTAATCTAGTAAAGATATATATTAATAATAAGACATGGATAATTGGTAGATGAAATAGAGGTCCTCGCACAAAAATCAGAAAATTTCATCGGGTGTCAGGCAGGTGGGAGGACGAAGGAGGGGATGGGTAAATTCACACCTAACGGGTGCAGTGCATGCTCTCTGGGGGATGGGCAGGCTTGTAGCTCTGATTCCAGTGGTGCAAAGGCAATTTAAGTAACCAAAGAATTTGTACCCCTGTAATATTATGAAAAGACAAGAAAAGAAAATTTCAATCATTATAACGTGTTATACTGAAATGCATTAATAGTCTATCAGTAACTTTTTCTTAGTGTTCTAATATTTTATGTTTATCAGCAATTTCCAGCAATTTTTATTGGCAATGGTAAATATTAAGACATTGCAATAATCTTAAAAAGCTTAGAGTAACTTTCACTGTTATTTTGTTAGACACTATGTCATGAAGTTTGTATTAACATTAGCAATGTCAAACTCTTTTGTGGGCAGATGAAATAGCATTTTGTATTTAATATCTTGACAGTATGTTGATGATTGCATTGCAACATTTTTATAGGGAGATAAGTATTTTTAATCTGCTGTCAGATTAAACCATTTGCAGAAAAATTTGCTTGAATGTTCTACTGTTACTTTGTCTTTGACATTAAGATTCAAAACATCAGAATTTAGTGAATTATAGTCTTTTATGTTTTAAATGTTTATAAAGAAATGTATGATTCAGTTAAGTTTCCCAGAGCTTGTTTCTTCAGGCAAAATAAACTGTTTATTGCTGGATATCTACTGACACAACATGAAGTCATAGTTATGGTTATGTGTTTATTTGCACATACCAGCTCCATTTAGCAGTATAAAAAGTAACATGAAAATCTTATGTATAGCAGTGTACAAAAAATAAGAAAGGTAAAATGGATACAGTAAAATAAGCAAATAATTGCTACTCCAATGGAAATGATGAATTAGTATAATATTATTTTTAAAAATATTTGTAAACTATATTTTATAGATCAGCATATCTTTAAGATGGTTTTGTCATTTCTCTTTTTCATTTGAACAGTAATGGTGGAATTTCAGATATTTTTATTTTGGCAGTAAATGAACAAATCATTTGAGGTATCAAAAAGTTAATTAAATTGCAAATAGTGTTGCTATTTATTTTAATTGGGAAATGAAAATTTATTTCAATGTATATTAGAATTAATTTTTATAATAATCTTAATAACCTGTTTTAGCTATCCATAAAACCATGTATAAAACATAGTAAAAAGTCAAAATAAACAAAATAACTCAGTTATATAAAAAAAAAAATACAAATTGAAAGAAGATAAAATTACCATTATGAGTGGATGATGTGATCTTTTACCTAGAAAATCCAAGTGGGTTGACTAGAAAACTAAAGAAACAATAAATAAATGCAGTACATTTCCTGGAAAACCCATTAATAAACAAATTTTTTCACTTTAAACAAAAATAGCCAGTAACCTTTTTTTTTTAATTAGCTAGAATTTATTTCAGTAAATTTATTGAAAGAAATGATCCAAATGATATTTGGAGGAAAACTTGATAATATCTCTCAAAAATTAAATTGAGTCAAGATTAAATTGACTCAGTGTCGCCACTACTAAGAATCTCCATAATGGTACACACACCATAATTTGCCAAGATGCAAACATACTCAAGATTGCTGATTAAAAATGGGAAAAACCCAGATCTGGAATTAAACATTTTTATCAATGCAGCCTTAGTTAATAAATTTTATTTAAATGAATGGAATATAACCAGCAGTTTAAAAATATAAAAGCTTATCTGAATATTTTAATGTAAAAATAATTGAGATCGTCCTTAAGAACAACCATATAACAGCACTCGAAAATATCCCATGGGCCTTAGGCAAAGGTTTGTCTTCTATTTCTAAGATACAGAGTTGGGTACAGTTATGGGAACAATCACATTACTTTATTCAGACCCCATAAATCTTATTTGAGTTTTTATATTTGACCTATTAAATACTGAAGGTTATACCAAAGTTTTCCATTATTGTTATTTTCTGTTCATTTCCCTTTTCATGTCCAAGGAGTTTGTATTGAATACTGCGTTCTATGTTATAATTTCAAAAAGATTTCTACCAGTATATCTTAATTGGAAATTTACTTATGATTTTATAAATTCATCAGGCTTTTTAATTTTATGATTTTTAATTTTAACTCACTTTCTGATATTGATATGACAACTTCAAATTGTGTGTGCTTGTTTTAGATTCCCTGGAATACTTTTGCATAGCCTTTAAAGTCCACCTTTCTGAGTCATTTCATTCACTATGTTTTTCTTGCAAAGGGCATATAGTTGGGTTCAATTATTTCACCCACTTCAAGAGTTGTCTCCTTTGTACAGACGAGTTGAATCCAACCACATCTATTGTCATTACAAATATACTTCATTTTCCTTCACCTTATTTTATATTCCCTTGAAAAAAATTACTCCTTATCTTTGTGGTCCTCTTCCTACTCCTGCCTTCCTGCCTGCCTCTAGTAATTCAGAAGATTTGTAGAATATTTAAAATTTTGATTGTGTTTACACTCTCTAAATCTTTGAAAATGTGTGTTCATTTTTCCATTTAAATACTATGTTCTTTTTCTCCTTTCTCTTCCCTTCCAAAATATCAAGCACATTCAATTTTTCTAATTGCTTTTCTTTGACCAGGGCCAATTCTTCCTGAGCCTGTAATTCCCCAAACATGGTGTGAGTACAATTTTCTCCATTCTCCTCTCTGTTTACCTGGGCACCCTTGGCATCTTTCCATCAGGCTGGTGGTGTAAATTTTAAATTCACCTCTCAGATATTAGGCTAGGTAACAGAAGGGCTCTGGGAATGCCAGTACAGATAGTGCCATAGCGCAAGAGATGTTCTTGGTCTTGCTCTTTTTCTCATGCTGATGTTTGTTCCTTTAATAACCTGCACGCTCAGGGCTGTCACCCATTTGGCAGAGCACAGGCGTTTTACTTGCAGAATCAGCAGTACTTTTCTCATCACTCTCAAACTAACCAGTGTTACAAAGTTGGTTACTTTATAACTTTCCATTAAGATTTAATAAGTTGTGAGAAAGTAAGAAAAGGCTGTGTCATGGCCACGTGGTTCTCCTTTAGCCAGAAGCCACTGCCCACGTGACTGGGATGCCAGGATTACAAGGGTCCATTTGTTCCCAGAAGCCTCCTCTCCAACCCTACCTCACGAAAGTCAAGGCAGTAGGGGGAGGGTGGCGGAGGGCCACATCAGCCCAAGCAGCATTTCCATCTCTCTCTTCCCGTTGAATTTGCCAATTCCAGAGTTTGGTAGGCAGCTGCATCTTCCAACGTCACCTTTTCTTTTGGCCCTCAGTGTCTTGAATTTAGAAAATACTCCTTGTTGGTTTGGGTATGAAGTAGTGCCCTACTTTTTGTTAATTTTCTATTTTTGCTTCTTTGAATTTATTTCCGTGGATTCCAGGGACAATAATTATATAAAGTGGCATGCATTCGGCCTATGGAAGTTCCTTTATACCAGGGCATCTCAACCTCTTTTGTGTGATGGACTACTCGTAATATAATGCAAAAGCTTCTAAAGGAAACTAATTATGTTGAAATAGTTATCAAGATACTAAAAAGCACATTTATGATAATACATGCTTCCTTATTAATGCATTAATTTCAAAAGAGTGACCGAAACAATATATTTTGAGATATTGG